GCGTCCCTGCCGCGGGCGGCAAGGGAAGGCCCGCGGTACACCCCCGACAGCCCGCTCTGGAAGCCCTACTTTCGCCGCCGCCACGCCGAACAGCTCGAGGCGACGAACGGCATCGAGCCCTCCGGCAGGCTCAACTCCGAGTGCCGGCGCCGGTGGTGGGGCGTGCCCGGCCGCACGTTGGAGGCCGTCCTCGAGTACATCGAGGGCGGCAACACGCCGCGCCTCGAGTACCCCGCTCCCCCATCCTTTTCTCGCCGGCGTGGGAGCTCGTGGACGCTGAGGCGCATGGAGCGTCCCGGGGCGTCCTCCTCCTCGTCCGGCAGTTCGTTCGGCTCTCTGCTACGTCTCCAACGTATCTATAATTTTTGATTGTTCCATGCTATTATATTACCTGTTTTGGATGTTTCTGAGCTTTATTTTATACATTATTAGCATTTTTGGGACTAACCTACTAACCGGAGGCCAAGCCCATATTGCTGTTTTTTTTTGCCTATTTCAGTATTTCGAAGAAAAGGAATATCAAACGGAGTCCAAACGGAATGAAACCTTCGGGAACGTGATTTTTGGAACGAACAAGATCCGGAGAGCTTGGAGTGCAAGTCAAGAAACAGCCGGAGCCTCCACGAGATAGGAGCCCCCCCCCCTTAAGGCGTGCCCCTGTCTCGTGGGCCCCTCGGGCGTCCACCGACGTACCTCTTCCTCCTATATATACCTACGGACCTCGAAAACATCCAGGGGCACCACGAAACACAATTTCCACCACCGTAACCTCCTGTATTCATGAGATCCTATCTTGGAGCCTTCACCGGCACTCTGCCGGAGGGGGAATCGACCACGGAGGGCCTCTACATCAACATCCTTGCTCCTCCTATGAGTTGTGAGTAGTTTACCACAGACCTACGGGTCCATAATTATTAGCTAAATGGCTTCTTCTCTCTTTCTGGATCTCAATACAATGTTCTCCCCCTCTCTTGTGAAGATCTATTCGCTGTAATCTCTTTTTGCGGTGTGTTTGTCGAGATCCGATGAATTGCGGTTTATGATCAGATTTATCTATGGATATTAATTGAATCTTCTCTGAATTCTTTTATGTATGATTAAGTTATCTTTGCATGTCTCTTCGAATTATCGCCTTGGTTTGGCCTACTAGATTGATCTTTCTTGCCATGGGAGAAGTGCTTAGTTTTGGGTTCAATCTTGCGGTGTTCTTACCCAGTGACAAAAAGGGTTGCAAGATACGTATTGTATTGCTGCCATCGAGGATAACAAGATGGGGTTTACATTATAGTGCATGAGTTTATCCCTCTACATCATATCATCTTGCTTAATGCGTTGCTCTGTTCTTATGAACTTAATACTCTAGATGCAGGCAGGAGTCGGTCGATGTGTGGAGTAATAGTAGTAGATGCAGGCAGGAGTCGGTCTACTTGTTATGGATGTGATGCCTATATACATGATCATGCCTAGATAACGTCATAATTATTCGCTTTTCTATCAATTGCTCGACAGTAATTTGTTCACCCACCGTAATACTTATGCTCTCGAGAGAAGTCTCTAGTGAAACCTTTGGCTCCGGGTCTATCTCTTATCATATTTGCTTTCAATCTACTTTTATTTGCATCTTTACTTTCTTGCATCTATATCATAAAAATACAAAAAATATATTTTATCTTATCATACTATCTCTATCAGATCTCACTTTCGCAAGTGGCCGTGAACGGATTGACAACCCCTTTATTGCGTTGGTTGCGAGTTCTCAGTTTGTTTGTGTAGGCGCGTGGGACTTTGGAGGAGCCTCCTATTGGATTGATACCTTGGTTCTCAAAAACTGAGAGAAATACTTACGCTACACTTGCTGCATCACCCTCTCCTCTTCGGGGAAAACCAACGCTAGCTCAAGACGCAGCACTCTCCCTGCCTCCGCCCCGTCAAACCGAAGCCCCAGGACATGCCTGTCAGAGCGCACACCCTCAGCAGCTCCGGCGTCCGCATCGGCGACTCCACACCCCCCCTCCGGCCGCTTCGTTCTCGTCGATCCCAAGCCGGAGCCCGTCCTCCCGCCGGAGTACGAGGGGATAGCCCGGCGCGGCTTCTCCGACGAGGACGCCCTACAATGGGCGCGGGACGACTACCTCCGCGACGAGATGGTCCGGCAGCGCCGGGCCCTGGAGGAGATAGAAGCCCGCAAACATGGGCGCGAGGACGAGGACGGCGTCGTGATCCTTGACAGCGACGATGACGAGGAGGATGCCCCGGACCGTCCAACCCGCCGTGCCAACCGGGGGAGGGTTGCAGTAGGGACGGCGGCGGCGGACGCGGCGATGACGACGACGACGACTACACGCGGTTCTACATCCTCCTTGGCATGTAGAACCGCAAGGGCGGGCAGCGGGCGGCGATGAGCGGCGAGGGAGACGGCGACGAGCGGCGACGGAGACGGCGAGGAGCAGCCCCTAGTAGTTTTTTTTATTTTCTTGTAAAATATGTTTAAATTTGAACGAACTCTCCGAAGTTTGCATTGAATTTGTGCCGTGTTTGCGCCGAATTTATGTTTGTCAAAAAAACGTGGGCGCCGCGACTGGGTGCATCACGCCCCCAGCTCACGGTTTAGCGCCGGTACCCCCCCAGTTGGCGATTTTTAGCCCCTCCTGAGGGGCCAACGGCTGGAGATGTTCTAAGATCTCCACCACAGCCACTTTCTAGGCGCCAGCAGTAAAAACTTCTTCCATTCACGCCTCCAATGCCTTACTTTTTGCCAGATTTGGAGAAAAATGATGCCGGCAAACCCATCCCAAACCCAGCTCTCTGAGGGGCAGCTGGGCGTGCTGGCGAGTCCTTTTTCTTGCGGTTGGCCTACCGTCAGCCTCCCACAACATCTCTCCTCTTTTTTCATCTGGGACCCACCCACGTGCCTCACCCTCTCTCCTCTCTTTTCCTCTCTCCTCTCCCATGCTTCTCTCTCAAGCGCAGAGCGCGGAGCCGCGGGGCGGAGCGGCGCCGGCGGAGTCCGGCGTCCAGCTTGTTCGCGCGTGGTCGGCGTCCGGCGTGCTCGACGAGGTCTCCTGGGGCGGATGCTCCGCAGGCTCGCCGGCGTGAGGGCTTGGCCGGGTGCGGCACACCGGCGCGCTGGTTCAGGAAGCGCAAGCCTAGGGCGAGGGCGAAGACCAGCCCCGAATCCCTCTAGCGCCTCTAGCCGTCCGGGGAGGCCGTCGGCGCCATCAGGTTGGCCGTCGACGCGCTACTCGTTCTCCAGCCTCAGGGACTCCATAACATCCAGTTTCTCGACGACGGCGCCGCGTAGCTTGGAGTTCTCGCCGCTGGCGAACTCGAGCAACTCGCTGGCTGCGTTGGCCTCCTCCACTGCCCGCTCGAGCACGCGCCGCAAGTCGTCGTTGTCGTTGTCGACCGCGTGGTGCATCTCGGCGAGCTCGATGGCGTCCTCCTCGGCCGCGCGTCCGCGTGCGTACATCGCCTTCTCCCTGGCGCGCCAAGCGGCCGTGGCCTCGTTCCAGTCAGCCATGATGCCGTCGAGCTTCTTGGTGGCCGACCACAAGTCCGCCTCGGTGGCTCGTAGAAGGCCCTCGAGCTGGCCGGCCTCGGCGTTGGCGCGCGGTCGGCTTGGGCCTTCACCTGCTTGCCCTCCATGGTGCCGGCAGAGAGCGCGGCAGCGAGGTCGTCTGCGGCCTTCCGGCTCCTCTCCTTGGCGGCCAGCGCCGCCCGGAGACGCCCAAGACCAGGTCCCCCTTCTCCCCGTTCGCCATATCCACACCGGCTCCGTGTCCACCCTCGGCGACCTGAGCCTCGCCGCCTCGACGCGCTCCGCGGCGGCTCCGACTGCGACCACTGCTCATGAGGGGCTCAACGAGTGGAAAAATTTGCCCCCCCTAGGCTAAAATTTTCGCCGGCAGCCCTCCAAGCGGCGAAAAAAAAGCCTCCTTAAGGGGCAAACTAGTGGAGATGCTCTGACGCAGAACCTCGCCTCGATCCTGTCCGTCCGTCAGCGCGGGCCGAACGACACGAAACCTTTCACCCTGCCCGGAGGTTTGGCATCCGATTCGGCCGGCCTTCACATCCATCGATTCGACCGTGTCAATGCTTTTTATCATGCTCTTTTTCTGTAGTATGATGCGAACAGAGTGCGTAAATGGAGCCACAGCGTACGTCCGCGTGAGCATCAGATGTTGATCTCCAAAAGGGTAAAAGGTAGCAGCTGTTTGACACTTGAAAGACAACAAGGGCCAATCATGGTACACAAAAGAAAACCAAAGCCTGCAGGAACCAAGTTTTGAGTTCCATTTGCAGCTAAGCTACCAGTGATACGGTTACTGCCACGGTCAGCTGTCTCTCTCTGGACATGCACTGTGACAGCTTGCAAGAGGACCGACCGTTGCCATCGCCCTCCTCGCTCCTTCCTCTCGTCCCAACGGCTCCGGAACCCCGAGACACGCGAAATCCCGAGAACACCCTCACGTCTAACCGCACGCGTGCTACGGCGATAGCTTGGCTTGCTTGCTTCGCCATGTGCGCGTCTCTTGCCCTTCACGCCGTCGCCGGCCCCTGTCCTTATCCGTCTTTTTCGGCCCCTCTTGTTTAGGGCATGTACAATGGTTGATAAGATAGTCTTATCCTAAGTCTTACATGTATATTAGAGATGACAAAAAAAGATGTCTACAATGGGTCATCTCTTAGCCTTATCTTCAATAACTAGTTATTCCTAAAAACATGGTGAGACATATTGTGCTAAGGGATCATCTTTTGCCTTCTCTTAATTAAGAGAAGACAAGCTTTCTTTTATGATTTTTCTATCCTCCACCTCATCATTTATCCTACGTGGCATTGCTAAGATAGAACCATTGTACATGCCTTTAGTCCCGCCCGCCTCCGCCTCCCTTCTCCAGCAGCAGAGCACACTCACATGCACGCCAGAACTCTGACAACCCACATCCGTCTCTAGCTTGTACCAGCTGAAGCACACTAGCACCAAGACAGAGGCAGATTCCATGGACGCTGTGGAGTCATCCACTTCGCCGTACTCGCCGCCTTCGCTGCGCCACAAGCTGCGGACCACCGTGTGCGGCTGCTTCGGCTCGCCGGGCAGCGGCGGGGAGAGGCAGCAAAGCGGGGGCAGGACCAGGTGGAGGCGGCGCGTGGCGGCCGCCGAGGAGTTTAGGTACGATCCGCTCAGCTACGCGCTCAACTTTGACAACGGCGGCAGCGGCAGTGACGACGGCGTGAAAGCAGAGGACACCGCCTTCCGGTACCGGAACTTCAACTCGCGCCTGCAGCCCTCGCCGGCGCCGGCCTCCGGAGCCGTCGCAGTCGCCTGAAGTCCTTTGCTGCTTCTGTAGCTTTTTTTTTTGACGGGGAACTACGGCGGGTTTACGCCAGCCTGAACTTATATTAGCCAGGGAGAGATGACAACATTCACGTAGTTACATAGGGTGAAGAAAAAGAAAAATTACAAGGGGTCAGCCCCCGACAAATAGCAGATGAAAGCTAAATTCTCGCAAATAAATGATACAACATGGTGCCCCAGTCCTTTAGAAGGGCCTGCTTGACAACATTTTTGCAGCGATTAGACAGCATCTTTGTAGCTTTTGTTTCTCTGAAATTTTCTTCTTCTCCGTGTGAGACTGAATCAACTCTGTAAAAGCAGTTTATACGGCCGTGGAAATCGTAGCGAGGTAGTTGTAGCAATACCAGTGTACCAGTACCATGATGCTTGTATACATATAGGAATGAATCAATCGATTTTAATATTACGTCGGTTCTCTTCTCAATGCAAGACGAACATTTGGTTTGACCAGGAAAAGGATGGCTTTCTTTTGGATGATAAACTGTGAACGAAGTTTGCCCTTGGGTTGGTGGCGGGTGGAATCATCTGCCGTCGCCATCTTATTCCTCCGCCTCCGTGTGTCCTGCGCGTATATCCAACGATGTACGTGGGTGAAAGGGTGCTGCAAAGGATTAGCGAACAGTCTGCCGCAAAAAGAAAAAAGGATTAGCGAGCAGTCAAATATCTCTCTTTTTTTGACTTGCGAACAATAAAAAACATACATCCAGCTCTTTAATTTTTGACTATCCGCTCGTATGGTTTGTACATGTATATACGGTATAGTTATAAGCCGTATATACTTCTGGTAGGATCTGGTGTTGCGTGAGTTGATTGTAATCAGGTGGTTAGGTAGTTAGGATTTATCCTCATCTTGTATAGCCTTTCTTGAGGATCAATCCAGTTCTACCGAACCGCCAAACCCTGTAACCTATTGATGCCTATATAACACGCAGCGCGTCCCTGCCAGAGGCAATACGCTTCAACCAATTCTTTCATGGTATCAGAGCCTACTTTCTCTTCAACATCCAACCCTAGATATGGCTAGCTCCAGCGCCGCCACCGCCGCCTTTCCTCTCATTCCCATCGCTGACAAGCTTCACCGGGGAAATTACCTGGTGTGGCGCGCGCAAGCCCTAGCCACCATCCGAGGAGCGCAGCTGATCGACCACCTCAACCCCGATCATCCATTCCCGAAGCCCAAGCTTGCTGACAAGGATGGCAAGCCAACCGATGTGCCCAACCCGGCGCATCTCATTGCACTGGCGCAAGACTCTCAGGTGTTGAGCTTCATCTTCAACTCGATCTCAGCCCCTGTGATGATCCAGGTCGCCCACTGCACCAAGGCCGCAGCAGCATGGACCGCCATCAGGGAGATGTTCCTCTCCCAGACGCAGGCCAACATCGTCAACATGCGGATCGCCCTCTCCAACACCAAAAAGGGCACCACGACCATCGCCGACTACATCGGGCGCATGAAGGCGCTGGGCGACGAGATGGATTCAGTAGGAAAGCCGCTCAACGATGATGACATGGTCTCCTACATCCTCGCTGGACTAGACTACGACTACATCTCGTTTGTCTCTTCCATCTGTGCTGCGAGGACGAAACCGATCAAGGTAGCAGAACTCTACTCTCAGTTGATTGGTTTGAGAAACACCTTGCTATGTTCGAAGGTGGCAACCACTCCTCCTAGTCCTCGTCCAACGCCGTCTCCCGTGGTCGTGGTTTCGGCCGAGGTGGAGGTGGCCGCGACAATGGTGGTCGAGGCAACGGAGGAGGTGGACGCGGCAACAGAGGCCGTGGCAATGGAGGCGGTGGCCGCGGCAATGGAGGTCGCGACAACGGCAACGGCAACGGAGGGGTTGATGATCTTCATGAAGTCACCTGCCAGATCTGCAAGAGGCAAAACCACACCGCCCTCGAATGCTATCGCCGCTTCGACATCTCCTTCACCAAGAATGACAAGAGCGCAGGGTCGGCCACCAGTTCTTCCTATGGAGTGGACACAAATTTGTACCTTGATACAGGGGCTACCGATCACATCACCAGCGAGCTTGACAAGCTGACGGTCCGCAACAATTACAATGGCAATGAACAAGTCCACACTTCAAACGGAGAAGGTATGGAAATTAGTCATATTGGTCAATCTACTTTCGTACTCCAACTCGCGATCTTCATCTAAAAGACATCTCGCATGTACCTGATGCCACCAAAAATCTAATTTCCTCTCATCGTTTGTCCACTGGTAATCACACCTATCTCGACGTTCACCCAAATTTCTTTTTTGTTAAGGAACATGGAGCGAGGAAAACCCTTCTTCGGGGCAGATGTAGACGTGGTCTCTACCCCCTTTCATCGTCTCCTTTGAGTTTAAGCAAGCAAGTTTTTGGCGGCAATAAACTGCCCACCGAGAGGTGGCAGAGCCGGCTAGGACACCCTTCATCCACCATAGTGCGTTATGCCCTTAGCCAAAACAACATTCCTTTCTCAAGTAGTGAGTTGAATAAAGAAGGTGTTTGTGATGCATGCCAAATGGGCAAAAGTCACCAACTTCCTTACCCTAGTTCGTTGAGTATTCCCAAAGCTCCTTTAGAGCAAGTTTTTTCCGATGTATGTGGGCCTGCTCGTGATTCTATCAATAAGAAAAACTATTACGTCTCATTTATTGATGATTTACAGTAAATTCACATGGATATATCTCCTTAAACACCGAACTGAAGTGTTCAAAGTTTTTCATGAGTTTCAAACTCTTGTTGAAAGGTTATTCAATAAGAAAATCATCACAACTATGCAAACAGATTGGGGTGGCGAGTATGAGCGCCTTAATTCCTTCTTTCGCCAATTAGGAATTACTCACCATGTCTCTTGTCCCTCTTAGCTCATGCTTCTATGCCCTCGAAATTCTGCGATGAAGCTTTTCTGTTAGCCACATATCTGATAAACCGCACCCCCAGCAAAGTGATTAATTTTGAAACTCCATTAGCTCGTTTGTTTCAAGAGAAACCAAATTATCATTCACTTCGTGTTTTTGGATGTGCCTGTTGGCCAAATCTCCGTCCATACAATTCCAAAAAATTAGCTTTTCGTTCTGAACAGTGTGTATTCCTTGGATACAGCAACCTTCACAAAGGTTTTAAGTGCCTAGATGTTGCTGCCGGACGCGTTTATATATCCCGTGATGTCATATTCGATGAGACAATTTTTCCCTTTGCATCCTTAAACCCGAATGCAGGCACCCCTCTTCGTTCGGAAGTATTGTTGCTTCCTGAAATATCTCTCTCTGAATCTATTCATCACGATGGTGAACTTGTAGTTGATCAACAGACTAATTTTTGTACTAATTCTGGAGAAAATCCAGCTATTATTCGTCATTTTATGCAGTCAGAACAAGACAAAGATGGCGCCGAGAGCACGAGGAGGATCCAGGTGCTGCGGCAACCGATCCCGATGTAGCGACATGCGTAGACAGCGCAGCAGCAGAAGGCGCAGGCGGCCCAGGCAACGAATCTGCCTCGGGCTTGCCAACTCCACCCAGGGAGCACCGCGCGTCGCGGGCTGGCCCGCAGCATCCTGTGTCCCCTGGCGGGCCAGTAGCTGGAGGACACGTTGCGCAGGGTGGGCCACATGAACTCGCGCGGCAATCGTCTCCCCTCGCTGGCTGTCACGTGGATGAACCCCATGCAGAAGCGGCGTGTGGCGCGTCTGGCGCGGTTCCTGAACGACAAGACGCGCGATCCTCTGGCGCTGACAATGGATCTGTCACGGGATCCCGTGCCACTGCTCCCTCCTCTACGAGATCGTCGGTCGCACCCCCTGCTGCAGCATCTGGTGTGCCAACCCAAGTAACCAGATCACAACATGGTATTGTGAAACCTCAAGTACGTACAGACGGTACAGTCAGCTATGACAAGTTAAAACCTCGTTTTGGAGGATTGACAATCACTGGTGAGCCAAGAAATTTGCAGGAAGCTTTAAATGACAAAAAATGGAAAATGGCTATGAATGATGAGTATGATGCTCTTATTTGAAATAAAACTTGGCACCTAATTCCACCAACAAGAAATAAAAATATTATTGATTGTAGGTGGGTCTATAGGATTAAGAGAAAGGCAGATGGTCAAATTGACAGATACAAGGCAATATTAGTAGCAAAGGGCTTTAAACAAAGATATGGTATAGATTATGAAGATACTTTTAGTCACCGATAAAGATCTTCGTATAATATGTTGGAGTCAATATGAGCATCCAGGTTCCGCTATTGGTTATTGACCGGAGACATGTCTTGGTCATGTCTACATAGTTCTCGAACCCGTAGGGTCCTCACGCTTAAAGTTCGGTGACGATCGGTATTATAAGTTTTTGTGTTTTGATGTACCGAAGGTAGTTTGAAGTACGAGATATGATCATGGACATGACGAGGAGTCTCGAAATGGTCGAGATGTAAAGATCAATATATTGGATGACTATGTTCGTGAAGGAAATATGCCCTGGAGGCAATAATAAAGTAATTATTTATTTCCTTATTTCATGATAAATGTTTATTATTCATGCTAGAATTGTATTAACCGGAAACTTAGTACATGTGTGGATACATAGAGAAACATAATGTGACTAGTATGCCTTTACTTGTCTAGCTCGTTGAATCAAAGATGGTTAAGTTTCCTAGCCATAGACATGAGTTGTCATTTGATTAACGGGATCATATCATTGGAGAATGATGTGATTGACTTGACCCATTCCGTTAGCTTAGCACTTGATCGTTTAGTATGTTACTTTTGCTTTCTTCATGACTTAAACATGTTCCTATGACTATGAGATTATGCAACTCCCGTTTACCGGAGGAACACTTTGTGTGCAACCAAACGTCACAACGTAACTGAGTGATTATAAAGGTGCTCTACAGGTGTTTCCGAAGGTACTTGTTGAATTGACGTATTACGAGATTAGGATTTGTCACTCCGATTGTCGGAGAGGTATCTCTGGGCCCTCTCG